TTCCCTACAGCTGGATCTGGATAAAAAGCTGCATGTCACACAAAACCCTGAATTCCTAGCCCCAGAAAAATGGAATACCAAAATGATCTGTTACACCTATAGAAGAAACAGATTTATCCAACACCACAGTATACCCTACTGAAGAAAATAATAATCTGCTACAGCACATTTCCGGCAAGGATTTCTAATCAGTAAATTTGCCTTTGAAGACAGTAACAACGTATGGTTAATTGCATGTGAGTGGACAAGTAAAATAACCTTCCTGGTCTAAAAAAAAGAGACCATCGTCTACAGCTTCCAAAAACGGATTCAATTTATACCATCCAGAAAGTGGCTTGCCTCAGTTGCGAGGTATACTTACAATCAGTAAACTATACTGCTTTGAGAGCAGGCAGAGGTACACCAGAATTTAAGGGAAAGGAGCAAGGTCTCCATCCCTCTCAGATAAAGTCTCTAGCCCCTGCAAAGATAACCTCAGAGGTATTACAAACACAATTCTGCTCAAGTCTGTGGACAACCTGGGGGGAAAAGGATCGAGAGGTGTGAAACTGCCCTTCTTTCTTTTGAGGCTGTAATGTTTCTGAGGTCTAGACACACCAGTTTAAGTGCCAGCATGGTTAACTATTTCACTGTTTGTCACAACCTGCAAGAATGTACAGCACTTGCTGACACAACACTAGGGAAACCTGCTATGATGAGGCCATGTTTACCATCTCATAAAGCTGTATTTGGCTTGTCAGTAGGGAGTCCTGCTCCCATTTCAACCACAACTGTTGTCACAACAATGAATTAAATCAGAGTATAAATCCTCCAGTTCTTATCAGCTATACAGTAATTCATTTCAGAGCACTATTACAGAGACTAGTGTAAGAATTAAGCTTTTATCTCAGAGGACTAATAACAATACAGGAAATACTGATGCTGCTCAGCATTCTCCTGTGGGTTGGATTGTTCCTGACCTAACCTTGGCTTAGCACTGATATCTGGGAATGGTCAGATGACTGAGAGCAGCCAGGTCAGTGTGTCAGTGCCCCTCAGGTGAGCTGCTGCATGCTGCTAGCCCCCTACTATTCAAAACCATGTGGGTTAGCTTAAAATCACCTTCAGTGGTGATTTAACAAATCCATCTGAATCTGCATTTAGCTGAGGGGCAATGACTTTTCTAAATGGCTGTGTTAATTGCTTACAGTCCTCTGATCCTCTCTCCGTAAGTGTCCTCAGTGTTGGCAGAATAAGTATATGACACCCTTAAAATCTGTATGACTGTCCTTCCAGGGAGCGAGTGTGGAAAATGCATATTACATGACTTTGGAGACAAGCAGCATACACTTACCCCAAATAATTCTCTGTCCCAGCTCCCCTCCTAAGTTTATCATTGCCTCAGTAGCAGTAAAAAGAAGTTTTAAGCTACAGCTCAAACCAAGTAAAATTCCCCATACTGTCTCCTGTTACAAGCTGAACAATTTTAAGATGTCAAAATACAAAGTAAAATACGAATTCTGGGCCTAGGATTCTAAATTTGGTAACCAAAAGTCATCCAGTGCTGTTTTATATTCATGCGTTAATAAGTTTACCGTGTGCAGAATGCTGCACTTGGAGCAAGCACTTCTTCCAACAGAAGTGATGTGATTTTACTTCCTCATGCCGGTATTATCAGACCAGTTGTTGCCAACTCTCAAGAATTTAATACAAGTTACAAGTCTTGAGATACTTGCTGGTTTGTTTTTTCTCTTTTTTTTTTTTTTCACACACACACATATGGAGACAGATAATTATATGAGAGTCTTAGTTTTTATTTGCTGGGGCAAGGAGAGGGAAGGATTACAAGTCTAAATCTCAAAAGGGCCAGAGAAAAGTTAAAAAAACCAAAACAGCCTTAAGGCACAGTAAAAAGTTCAAGATTTTCTAAGCCATTTTCATGATTCTGGGGACCTCAGCTTTGAATTGTCTGGGTTGGTAAAATCAATTCAATAATTTTCAGGATTTCTTGCTGTGATTTAACCATCTCCATTATTGTCCCTCCCCATCACAACCAAGTTCTGAGTGCGCTACTTTTCTCCTTGTTCTTTTGGCTATTACAAATAACAAGTAACCTATACCTATGCGCTAAAAATAATAAAAGGCGTATTTCAAGCTTACCCACAAACTTCTGTGGGGTGGAGCTTTTACGCTTTCCCATGTTGCTTGTCAGCTTCTCTATAACAGCAGGTCTCTCAAAAGGCACCAGAGAAATATTGTTGTCCATCACAGGCTCTTGTTCCTTACAATCTTCCATAGGAGGTACTACATAAAACCAAAAAATCGTATCAGACAAGTCTGGTCTACGCTTCACAGACAACACAAATCATTTGAGCCCTGCTGACTGCGCAACAAGTGCAACACAAAATAAAGCAAGGTGCAAGAACACACTGGGCATCAAGATAGCATTCACCTTTAAGCAGAGCCACATTTACAAAATGCCTCTGTTTAGGACCATCTTATTTAGTAGAAGCCCAACTTTAAGCATTTATTAGAGGACTTGTTTTGCTCTGAATACTCCAGATTCCCAGTGAGGAGGGAACACTTTTGAAAACTCACTCTGTAGATGACATTTTCTGTTATTCCCCCTTCAATATGGTCACCTGTTGCCCATGTAACTTTTTAGTTATCGTTCTTTCTGTATTCCCTTAACTTCATGCTTATCATATGGCACGCTTACCATTCTTATTTTCTTTTTGCATTAATCTCAATGACTAAAAAACATACAGGGCATTGATGACTTGTGTTTCCCAGGCCTGGCCATGCATTTCCTAAGATAAAGGCTTCCGGAATGAAGGATCTGTTTGTTAAAGTGTGTTTCCTCTTTGTATACCTGAGATTGTAAAATCAACAAATGCTGTACTGGAATTACAGGATTAACATCGTATGGAAATTCCCTTCAGAATCTGTCGCAGAAACTATCAATTTTTTTATTAATATTTTATCCCTTCAAACACAGACCTAACAACTGATGAATGCAAATCTTCTGTGTCTGTCTTCCCATTTTTTGCATCCCTGTGCTAACTACGTTAGGGGAATGTTCATACGCTGTCTTTGAGACAATAACAAGAAATTAATGACCTCTTTTGTCTTTACTCATTTCACTCGTTGTCACTTGTCGGGTTAGGGAATAAGGTGCTAGAGCAAAAGCAGTGTAATAATTGCGTGGGCTACCGACCAGGGTAGTGACCAACTTGCACAGGGTTTTATGTCGCTTGCTGACATAGCTAATCACTAAATACCTACAGACTACTCTGTTTTTGTTGAGCATCCTCTTATGAACACCAAGAAGGGTCAGTGGTACCACGCTGCGGATCAGAGTCAGAGAGGCCATGTCATTTGCAATATACGTCAAAAGTGTGATTCCACATGTAGCTCTTCCCACTGCTCTGCTGCCATGAATTTAATACATGGCCTAATTGTCCCACATTCATCTTCATAAGGTAGCAAGAAAACCTGAGAAGGATCAGCCACTAGTCCATACGCTGATGGGACGGCTGAGGTGTAAAAAATTATCTGAGGAGAAGAATGGACGGCAGAGAAATAGAAACTGGGATGATCTTGCAAACAGTTCGTACAATTTGTAAACTGTGAGCAACCCATTGCATTCTCTGTATTAGATAAATCTTCCAGAGAAGTCACGGGTGGTATTGCAGATGTAGTAGAGAAGGACTGAAACCCACATCTTGTGCTAGTCCTCCTCTGGTCTCTCACTGTAGCAGCCTTCCGATACCTTCTCCCTGAGACTGTGCCATAAATGAACACCACTAGCCTACTTTCCTCCCATGTAACGTTACTACCTTCAGGATCCTAATATGGAATAATCACTCTCCTGTTCTTAAACACGCAGCTGTTTGCTAGCACATAATATATGAGAAATGGGGTGATAAAAGCCTCGTCTTTGCCTTCTTTCTAGTAAGGAAGAGCAAATACCAGGCAATTACAAAACAGAGTATCTGCTCAGGTGAACTTCACAATTCAGACATTCATAAGAAGAAAACATGGCAATTTATTAATTTGATTCCATTTGTGCCTCTGCTGCTATGGAAAGCTGGAGTACTTTGAGGCTTAGATCTACCATATGCTATAAAATGATTTACTGTGCTACTTTTTTATTTGTACAGGATGCTCCCCCTGAGAAACACAATGGTTTCTCATTTACAAGGCAGTCCTGCTGGCATCAGTGAAAGAGAAGAAGAAAAAGCATAAATATGAAATGAATCTAATGTTGCAACAAAATGAGATGCAGTGTTTGAGTGACCTAATTAATGCCCAGTGCAGACTGGGAGGTCTGGAATACTTTAATAGCTAAGGCTAAATTTTTAAGGTTATTTAAATACTCTGCTTGGTCAGGAGCTATCTGTACTAGCTCTACCCAAGTATTTACTGAGGAGATTTTGGAAGAAAGGAAAGATTATGTCTGTTCATTTTCACTGGGAACTGGCATCTGACTGTCCTTTTGGCTTACCAAAAATCAGCATATGCATGCACATGCACACACACTCTGTGTGAAACCCTGGATCCCTGCTCAGTGGCATTATCCATCTTCACTGCAATGGGTGAGGTTTGCATGTGAGTGCCACTTCAAGAATTCCCAGCCGTTGGCATACAGGACACAGGAGGCTGGTGATAGGGACCTAGGGAGATGCAGAGGGCTCTAAATCCCTCCTAGGAAGACTTCCTAAAGGTATGCTGGCTTTGTAGGACTGTAATTGCCCACAAAATCAGTTGAAAACCTCCTGATTACTTTCATAGCCATCTGATTAAGCTCCAAATGTAGCGACATTTGTATATCTTATAACAATTAAGTAATAATTAAATAATTCTACTGTTGGGCATATGTGTGTAAAATTTCCTAGACGGAATTTGAAACCTTTCTTCCATGAAAAATGAGTAGTGCTAAAAAAGACATCTGCTCTTCTCTAAGTCAGGCAAAAATTGTGCTTGGACTCCTTTTAAAAGTAAAATTATCACCACTTAAAGCATTTTCTTTTTTATCTTTCATGCTGCAAGCTCTTTTTCCCACCTCAGAACTCAACTCTATAATCCAGGGCATGGCTCTTTTGCAACAAAATCACTGAATCACACCAATATTTGTGTTACAAAGGGAATATGTTACCGGAATGTCTTTTGTTATGTAGATTTCCCAGGAGAAGGGAGAGATGGAAATAGCCCTTTTTCTGAAACCATTTAAATTGCATGCAAAACCGGACCAAACAGGTGAGATGTCACATTTTAGAAATCCAAAGAGTTAAGCTAAAGATCACACTGTCAATTCTAGATACATTAATTTTCATTTCAATTTGAAAATATACAAACAAAGGAGAAATAGCTCAGCCTGCATAATTTTTTTGAGGAAAAACAAAATAAAAAAGGAGAAAAGCAAACCGATCACACACGACCAACAGTTATCACAAATCAGCTGCTCTGTGGTAGAAACTCATGTGTACACAATTACTCTGTGGTAAATGCAATTCCTTTTTTGTTGCATTTCATCGTACTTCATTGCCTTGGTAGTGGGAGCTACCAAAGAACAGCTAACACATTATAACTAGCTTTGATACAGCAACTCATTTTATGCTGTGAACTTATGGTCTTAGCTCAGGAAGGGTTTTTTTTTTTATTCTAAAAATCAAGCATCCAGTCCATGAAAAGCCCACACTTGAGTATGTTTCTGTTCAGGGATGTTCTTAATCAGCTCTCAGGGTGCGCTCCTGGACTGCCCATGCAAATATTTACCATCTCTGACACTGTTAATGTTCCCAATTGCAGTTAACACCAAATGTTGTTTCTAAGCCCAAACTCTCAATACACAAACCTGGATGGTCTTCAGAAGAAAGTCTTTATTTTCCTGAAGACACTGGTCTTTCAATCATAGTGCTCAAAGTGGCTATCTTTTAGTTTTTGTTTCTTAATTTGTAAGAAACCACACATACTATTAGAAAAGTTTATGCTGTTGCAGTGATGAAAGAATAGGGGAAAAAAAGAAGTAAAAAAATTACCCCATGTGTGTTTTGCTGATAAATACTTCTGTGTGCAAACAACAGACAGTGGGCTAAGTCTCAGCTGGTAGAAATTAGTATTACTCCATCAACCTCAATTTCCTTTCCTAAGCTCACAATATTCCTATTTTAAAAAAGTGTGTGTGCAGAGAAATGACAGGAAATATTCCCAAGGACCCTGCTGTGAAGTCTCCTGTGGGACCAGCATTTTAACGATGTTTTAAGCAACTATATAAGAGGGAAGGACACAAGGCCATTCATTGTGTGTTTTATGTAGAGCCGGCCTTTGAGCCTCGCACAGCCTAGGGCTAGGCTTCTTTCTCCTTCTCCTAAAAAGAGTACCCTTCTCCATTCTACTTTAAGAATTTCCCTGGACTTTTTGCTTTGTGGAGATAGAGAAGAACATATAACTGGGTGTAAACCATAGCTAGCATTCAACATTTCTTCCTGTTCATCGCCGCATGTCATGTTCTTGGCATTCAGAGACTGTCACTTTTGTCACCCCCAACATGCCTCTAGCTAGGAGACCACAGACTAATTTCTTCCTCTGGAGCCAGCACTGCTTAGCTGAGAATTGCCAACAACAGAGTCATGGGAGCTCTCTTGCAGCAGCCCTTGTGCTGAGCAGGGAACAGGACCTAGCCACAAGGAGAGGCAGCTCAGCAAGCAACCGGCATCCTGTGAGAGGATGGAGAGAGACCCGGAGACTTGTACACACAAGAGACCCACACACTGAAACTAGCCCTTCTTCCCCTCTTGTCCTTCCCCTTGTGGCTTTAGTCAAGTGATCTAGCCATCTGCAAGACAAAGATAATTGAAATTAAAGGCCTCATCAGGCCACAGCAAAAGCACCAAGTAGATGTCTGTAGCATGCCTATAAACTGATCAACTTGAGCACAATGCTTGAAAAAAATCCAAACTCTCTAAGGGCTGCCTCCAGTTTTCTGGAACAATTCAGACCAATGTTAAACATTGGCCATGTTGGTAGAGACCCAGCGCAGCCACTTGCATCCTTAAAGCAGGATGCCAGTAGGGATAAGAAAATATCCACCTCTACCTATTCTGTCCATAAGGGTGAAGTTGTGCCCAGGAGTCACACCAAAATGCATGCAGAAGCTTCAAAACACTCAGCAAGAACAAAATACTTAAATAAAAAGTATTTTGAAAGACAGTCAGGAAAACTTAAGCCCAATGTGATGCAAAATAAACCAACAATCAAAATCTCCAAAGCACGCATGCACTCACTCATCCTCAGGAATACCTTTCCATGTGTGACATGGGAAAGAAGGAAATTAATATGTTTTTCAGGGTTAGACTAAGACCTAACTTGAAGCTGAGTATCACTTGTATACTCTTCCCTGGTGCCTTTATAGTCCCAGGAGAAAGGACCTCTACAGGTTGGTGCTCATGACCCTCACTCCCATGCTGAGCTTCACAGGTGATGAAATGCTGGGATGTGAGGTGAGATTTATTACTGGTCCCAGCTGAATTTGGAGCTCCCTGTCACTGCCTGTCTTCGTTATACCCTTGCTAAACAGCACAACAAAGACAGTGCATCAAATATCCCTTAAACATTCACCAGGGGAGATTTAGGCATATTTGCCCAGAGCAGAAAGAGGCACCAGTTGAATTCAAAGTGCTATTTTAAGTTAATTTTGTTGAGAAAAGTAAAGTGGTTGTGTGAACATTTCTATTTTAAGCCCAAGCAAAGTCAGTCAGGCTGTAAATAAAGAACTGTCCGCATGGGGTTTGCACTGGTTTAACTTCAGTTGGTAGAAAAATCAATGCAAGGTCAACTATTCCAGCTTCTTTGGGTAGACAGGGTTAAGGACTTACCCTTCTTGTCATAGCATTAAGCAGCTTAGAAAAAGCTTTAGATTTCCTCAGAAGTACACTATCAACAAGAGTAAAACCAATATTGGTAAATAACTGAATAATAAACCCAGAAGTTGAGTGGAATTTGGGAAGATCCTCCACAATGTAACCTCTGAAACATCCTGGCTGTCATAACTGTATCAGCCTACTGTTATTTCCCTAAGGAAAGGCTGACCGAAATCATCACCCAGTTGGTTAATAAGACAGGCACACCCTTGTAGAGTGAAGACCGTGTATTTTGTTGGGAATGGAGTCGGTGGTTAAAATCGTGCTATCAACTAAGCGCTCCATCTAACAGACCAAACACACAACAGGTATCCTGCAAATAGCAAAGCTTTGAAATCAGTCTTTCCACTGACTTTTACAAGCGTAAAGTCAGGCCTAAAGCAGATAATTACTAACTGCAATGTCTTTAAAGTTATCCATTATATTTTAAATGTTGATTTTAGTCTCCAGGGTGTCTACAAAGATAGCAATTACTTAATAGAGCTGTATGAACATTTTGACAATACATATTAAATACATTTAGAATGCCTTTACAGGATTAAATTGTTCATGGAAAAGTACTCCTTAAAATTTTTTGGTGATTTTTTTCACCAAAAAATAGACCATATTAAAAATGCTGAATAGATTTTATTTCAGCTCGTAGTTTTATAGATTTTTAGAAATGACCTGTCAGAACTTTTAACACAATTAATTTCCAAATGAAGCCATATGACTCCACTCAACAATGAAAAGCAAAACAGAAAAAAAAAGAGGAAACGTTCTTTCACCTTTTCATTTACCTACCATGTAACTTTTTGGTATTCCTAGGTATATTGTCATTTTTAATCAAAATGGAAAACTTACAGTTTTTTATATTTTCTGATTGTTAAGAAATTTTAAATACTTCAAGTACCAAACATCTAAAGACAACTTTTAAAAGTTAAAAGGTGTTCAGTTTTAGAAGAGTTTCCAAAACACTAATTTTGAATGAAATTGTAACAATTTTTGGACAGCTACCTTTTAGTACTTAGTGCTACAGATAAGCTTACAACCCTGCAGTCTGAGATGATATGCTCATTATCCATACCAATAGCTATGGAAATTTTTGAAAACAAATTCACGGAGTTTAACATTTCTTGCTTTCAACAATCTTTTTGGCAATCTTCAGTCTTTATGTATATTAACACATGCAGTGTTAGTTAACATATTAATACTAACACATGTAAATGCATATAAACATTTTATTTTTGTTATAATTACTTTCATCAACACTGTTGAATTCCATTCCACCCTGAAGATTTTTATATCTATCCCCCCCCCTTGTTTTGGGATATAAGATAATATTTACAGGGAGTAGAAATAATGATTTCTGAATACCTCCACCATCCTTATCTCTTATAATTACCAGTCACTATCAGAAAGGAAGGGGAGAGGAATCATACACTTTATACATGGCTTAGTTCATTTTTAGGGTAACTCTGCACAGGTGACTTTGCTTTATTTCCATGTCTGCATATTTATACATACTAAAAAGTTAAATACTGACTTAAAAAAAAAAATCAGCAAAACCAATGCTGTTAAATTGGACAGAGTGAGGATTTTAGCCCATCTTTTCTCCTCCTGCCTATCTGAGTATAAGCAATCTGTAAGATGGAAGTGATGCAAAGCTGAAAGGAAGGAAGAAAAACAGATGGAAAAAAAACCCGCAAGAGATGCTCCAAGTCCAAGAGACCTCAAAAGGCGGTTTCCACCCACCATGGTGACTCATGACCTGCCCGGCAGCCTCCATACTGACATTCTGCAGATAGTTGTGGCAGCGTTCCTTGTGCTCCTCCAGCGAACTGCGCTGCTTGTAGCTCCGGCCGCAGTAGTTGCACTTGTGAGGCTTCCCCACTGCAGAAAGAACAAGAGCATTAGGTCAAATCCACTGTAGCCCACTTTTTGCTATCAAAAATCACACCTTTGCAACAAACAACTCTTGCAATGGAAAGACACCTAAGAAAGGTTACTCAAGTCCCAGACCTTTTTCCCAGCCCCATTTTCCCACCGCACACACCTCCCACCTGCCGGGTACTTCGCCCCATCCGTTTTTCACACTAACGCGCAGTATCAGCAGAAGGAAAAAGAGGCGGACTTGTTGGTCGCAAAGCAAATAAACAGATGACAAGACGGGAAAACAAACCAAACAGCTGAATCACACCCCAGCACCGCCTGTGTGTCACCAAGTCTCGTGGGAAAGAAACTTCTGAGACATTTTGCCCATGGCACGAACAGTTGCCTTCACAAAAACTAGCTGCCCCAGTGGCCTAATTCTGCTCCCAGCTGCGGGGAAACCCATTACGTGACCCAGAGGAGTTGTTCTTTCACTGAGACAACTTTGCCAAAATTACTACGGGAAGGTTGGAAAAAAAAAAAAAGACAACAGAAAGTAACTTCAGTAACAGCACTGTTACATGCCAGAACTGAGCTGCCACCAGTAGTTCACAGAGACCGGATAATATTAAAATATATATAACATAAATATATATATATATATAAAAATAAAAGGACATATACAATTAAAATCAAGCCAGATGAATGCAAGACATAACTCCAATTTTAAAATTTCTTTTTTGTTTCACTCAACAGCATTATGAACAAATGGCAAATGCCTCTTAATACATGCAAAACCTGGCACCAGATTATCATAAAGTATATTCCTTTCATAGCATGTCATTTAGAAACCACAAGAATGGCCTAACCCAAGGCCAGAAAGCTAGCCAGAAGTGTATTTTGCCAAGCCGCGCTAATAAAGGTTTTTAATATAATTTAAACTTGTAGAACACGAACATTTATTCTCTAATAACAAAAGAGCTATTAAGTCAGTACTGCAAGTCTAGTAAAACACCATCGGCTGTGATTTTCAGAGCTGGCTGAGGGGTGGGGAAGGTCAAACTTCTTCCAGAGTTTTGAAAATCTTAGGTAAGAATTTTAGTTTCTGGCCAAAGAAATTGAGAACATCCTCTGTTGGATAATATGCATGTTTCTATTGGGTTTGTCCCAATATTGAAAGCTTTTCATGATCATTTACTTAACGAAATCCAATTGCAGCCAAAATGCACCATCACCACTGGGATGGGCAAATGCATGCTAGTCTGCGGGGAGGACACCTGTAGTCAACAAGAAGCCAGACAGAGGGCTCCTTGCGTTGGGGCTGAAGCCCCAAACATCAAAGACCCAGGGTCAGGGAAATTCTCTGGGGCCTCTGCAGGACTAGTACATACCACAGTGTGTGCCCCACATCACCTATATGATGGAAGATGAAAAAGCCTGAGCCTCCGGTATCAGAGCTGGTCAAAAAATTTCAAACATTTTTGTCTCAGAGAAAAAAGGGAATTAGTGAAATGAACACGTTTGCAGAAAGTTTCTGTTTTTCTCAAAAAGCATGTTTGTGTGTGCAGTTCAGTGACACAGCCAAGTTTTCCACCAGAGAAAAAAAAGCTGCTTTTAATAAGCATCCAAACCGTGGATTTATTTCTCTTTATTTAGAGAGCAGGCTTATCCTCAGGAAAGTATTGTCTCTTCAACTAAACAGTTGTTGTGGTCTTTATTTTATTTTGCTCACTAGCTTATGCTATTGCCATAACTGGCATTGGTACTGGGAATCTCAGTGGAGGCAGAGTCTGAGGCTCATTATCATTCCCAGAGTAATTGCCCTTGACATGAACGATCTGGATCAAGCCTCAGCTCTTAAACATAAACCAGCCACCTCATTCCGGAAGCACCTTTAGGAAAACATACTGGCAGCTCCCTAGGATGGAAAGACTTTTATCATCACCATTACAATGCTTCATCATGCATCTAGATGGTATCAATGCCTGCCAGTCTGATGCCTTTATTAGAAGCTAACTTGGTGTCTAATAAAAAAAATCCAATGCAATTGAAGGGATTGAGTTAACCAAGCTGAAGCAGGGCTGAATTAGCCCACCTGGTTTGGCTACACCAGGTTATCAAGCAACTTAGATAAACTGTAGGATGCAAGGGAAGAGGATGATTGCTTTCAGCTATTCCAGAGACAGCTACAATTAATTAAATATATTATCATTTAGCACGGAGAAACATATTCCCCTACAAGGTCACAGTACCAAAAATTGATTCAACAATCAAAAAAAAGTTGGTAGTACACCTCTTCAAATGGTTGCTCTCTGCATTGCAACAATTTCACAAACTATTCGCCCACAACAAGGCTGAGCTTTTCCAATGATGGTAACCTATCCAAATTCCATCAAATTTCAAGGTTCATAGAGATGATAAAAGCTAATGATAAAGGCACGATTTCTACATGCAATATGGGATTTGAGGAACGTAACTCCCCAAGGAAAGAAATACTCCAGCACACATGCTCCTTCCTCTAGGGAGAAGATAAGAGAACAAACAACATGTGACAAATGTTAGTCATGTTGCCTAATACACAGCTGGAAGCTGCTCAGACACAACCGTGAAGGACAAAGTTTGTGAGCTCCAGTTGAGTAGGATCAAATAAAACTCCCTTAGGTTCATTTCCAAATTCCGTCCCCCCTGCTCTACAGATGGAATCACATCATAGCCCCACACGTGTAAAATCTGATTTATACTATAAAATTACACAAAGTGACTGTGACTTGGGTTGCAGCACAATTGATCAGGTCAGGCCACAATGGAATCAGTTCTGATAGCACCAGTTTGTGTCACCAGCAATTCTCACAACGCATTTGGAAAGAGGTGTGGCTAGCCGAGGTAGCAATATGGTCTGGATTTTAGAAACTTTTGTCACTGTGACAAATGTCAAGTCATTGAAATAGCTGCAAATTTCCCCTCGTATTCTCAAAGTAACTAATGACAAAAAATATATATATATTTGTGGATGTGAACGTTGCCAGTGCCAGTGTACATTTTTCCATATTTCATACTACCCAATAGAAAGCTGTAAAAGTGCATTAGAGAATTCAATTCCGGTGATCTCCTCAACAGCATACTTTGTTCCACATAACAAACCACCGTAAGAAACCACATGACTGCCAAGAGACATTTCAGCCTTTGTCAAATACTGCATAGTAGGTAAATGTTAATAGTCAAAATTTGCCCCCAAAACACGTGGCTTGCTGTACTGGGCACAAGCAGTCTTGGTCTATAGGCCACTGACTTGAAGGCAAAGAGTTCAACAGTGCTATAGCCTACCAAAACCCTCTCCAAGCCCCCACTAAAGGCCACACCGTGGAGCCATTTCCACAGTGAAGCCACTCAAAGTTTGGCTCAGCTTGCTTGGTATGAAGCTGCCTTCTCCAAGATCCTCACTGAAGACCATGGTACATGGACACCATGTTCGGCATTGCATGTAATCACCACTGCCAAATGGTAGCGGCACTCAAGCAAAGGCAGTTTGGAAATCCCTGGTTTGGGGTAATTATTCCTTTATCACCTTTTCAGGGTAAGCAATCAGATAAAAAATTACCATCACTCATTCTCATAGAAATGACACAATACAGTGAATGCAAACAAGCCCAAAATCTTGAGAAATCTTCGATCTGTTGTTAAACTCGGAAAGACCAGGGCACTGGGCAAAACCCAGCGGCCATACCTATGAAACAGCTAACTTGACGAACGTAAAAAAACACTTTATATTTCTTACTGAAATGTCAGAATTTCCACGCATTTAAGCTCAGATTCATATAGATGACAATGTGGCACAGAAAACCCACAGTGGAGTCTCAGCCTCAAATGGAAAATATTATGACAGTCACAGTGAAAAAGACATTTAAGTTTGAAGTACAATTTTTACCATGAAACAGGTAAACCACTCATCGAAATTCACAGAGAAACGGAGTTTGCTTGTGAAATTAAAATGCTCATGTGGAGGGAGGAGGGGGAAGAGGAGGAGGACATAAAAGGCAAGGTGTTTCTGAGTTAGGAATACTTTGAGTCCTGTGGGTGAACTTTGATAGCTGAGAAGTCTGCGTGCAGTGACAATGAGATGGTGTAACTCTAAGGTCAATATTCAAGACAGAAAGCAGACTTGGGCCTAGGGAAACTTCTTTAAAGTCATAAAAAAGGTCAGTGAAAGAGAAAGAGCCCGTAAGGCATTCACACAGCATTTTGTTCTCAAAAGAGTTGGGAGTGCATAGCAGAATATAAAGTAAGTCAAAGGGAAATAACAAGGCATCCCAGGTAATACCTTGCCATAAGCATATAACATAAGAAAGGCCTACAGAACAGGTTAAGAGCAACGATACACTTCACTGAGCTAAAATCCTGCCTCCATTAAGACCAATGACAAAAGATGCACTGGTTTCAGCGGTCAGGATTAACTACTCCCACGTTTCCCTATTTCAGGTACCATGTTCTCCTCTGCAGCAGCGCAGAGCAGAACTCCTTCCCATCCACCTGCCCATGCCCCGAGTCCCTGCAACGGCTCAACCGCTAATGCGACCAGCTCACACAGAAAAGGGCATTACTACGGCTGTGTGACGTACGTCAGCCCAATCCAAGGACTAGAGACTTTGCACTGAGCTTTGTACCAGACTTTTATTGTTTTTGCGTTATTGCCCCATCAGGGACTTGGAAGGGAAGCCAGCCAAGATTCCTGAACTAAGTGGCCATCTGACGTAGCTACTTTCGGTTTGAGGAAGTCCCTCTGATAGCAGCGCACCGAGCGTGACTTATTTCTGTAAAATCTGAACTCCCACTCAGCCCCTAGCACCCCAGAGCTGGAAGAAACCCCAGTACTCTCCCATTGAAGCTTTCTGAAGCAGCACTGAAGAAGTTAAAATGTTCTTTTGGGCTGATACTTACACCTATCAGTGAGGTTGCAGAATTACCAGTCACGACCGTAACCAGTATTAATTCATTATTTCTTCTTTCTTCCCTAAAACTGGAAG